CCCCAGAAGCCCATGGCTCAGGGCGATCCCCGTGGCAGAGCGCTGCCTGCTCCTCCGGGCTGCGTCAGTCACATGCCCAGTTAAGCAGCGGCAGCTCCCTTGTGCTTTGAACTTGGAGGCCCTGGCACTGGAGTAGGCTGTCTGTGCCTCGCGAATAAGGAACTGCAACCACAGGGGCAGCACTGAGCACAGCAGGACGGGGCTGGGGGCGGGGGAACTTCCCCTCCTCAACCTGGGTCCACATTCCTACCCAAGGACAGCGCTATGGGGCCCCTACGCTCTCTCTTCTCTAGCCACTGGGAGACGCTACTGGGAGACAGTCTGTCTTCTCTCTGCATGAGCCTTGCCCAGAGAATGGGGGCGTGCCTAGCCGGTTTGGCTCAGTGGATAGAACATCGGCCCTCGGACTGAGCGGTCCTGGGTTCAATTCCGGTCAAGGGCACATACCTCAGTGGCAGGCCTGGTCAGGGTGGGTGCAAGAGGCAACTAAGCTATGTGTCTCTCTCACATCGATGTTTCTCTCTGTCTCTCCCCCTCCATTCTACTCTCTCTAAAAATCAATGGAAAAATATCCTCAGGTGAGGATTAACAAAAAAAAGAAAACTAAGAATTAAAAAAAAAAAAAAAAAGGAACGGAGACACGTGTGTTTCTGCTGATCAAGGGGAAATGCCTGCCAGGTGTGTGGGTATAACTCCCCGCTCAGCCTCTGACCGGACGCCTCAGCCAAACTCCGCTGCTGGGAGGGGAGGACCCTCCCGCCCTGCAGTGCCGGACACACCACACATGCCAATCAAGCTGCTTTAAAGAGAGCCTTCCCGACAGCCAGAGAGGAGGTTCCAGAGCCGGGGGCTTGCTGGAGGGCTGGGCCCAGGCTCCGGTTCGGAGCAGCCAGCTCGCCCTGCAGAGGCGGAGTGTCTGGGGGCAGCCTCATCCTCCCGTGACATCACCACCCACCTGCGGGGGATAAAGGCCGTGCCCAGATCTCAGAGGTTAGGGCGGGGCCGTGGCCCTGGGGTCACTGAGCCTTCCCCCATCACTCTGACCCGGCACCACTGAGCATCAGGAGTCCGCCCTCAGTCTCTACCTGAGCCCCACGCCCACTCACACCTCATCTGCCCGGACCCCAGGGCTGGCTCTGGGCACCCCCTCAGCGGCTCCCAGCAGCCTCTGGACCATTTAGTCCTCACTTGGACAGCATCTTCGTTGCAACCCAACCACCAGCCACCCCGGCCCCATGCCAGCTCCCCTGGCACCTGGAGGCTCTCCTCTGTCTACCTGTGATCCCCAGCTCTTTAAATTCCCGACTCCACTGGGTTGGGGTACCCCCTGGCTCCCTCCTTCCTCTTCTAGGAGGAGGGCCAAGCCTGCCCTGGTGTTTCCGGATGGGGGAGCAGTCTTGTCCCAGAGACCCATGGGGCAGGCTTTGGGGCTGGGGCCCCTGGTGGGAAGGTGTAGAGCAGTGTTTCTCAGCCTCGGCTGCACATTAGAATCACCTGGGAATCTTGTTAAAATCCTGATTTCCGGGCCTCATCCTCGGGAAATTCTGTTTCTTTGTGATGGGGTGGGGTCACAACATTAGTAACAAAGAAACAGAATTTCCGGAGGATGAGGCCCGGAAATCAGGATTTTAACAAGATTCCCAGGTGGTTCTAATGCGCAGCCCAGGCCGAGAACCGCTGGTGCAGAGGGAGGGGCGGGGCGGGGCTGGCCGCAGGCTCAGCAGGATGCCCTCTCCCTGACTCCGGGGCTGGGGAAAGTTCTCGGACAGTCGCATTCCCTGGTCCCGAGGGTCCTTTGGGGGCGGGGGGGAGGACCGCTCCGTCCGTCGGGGGTGGAATCTGAGTCTGGGCCACAGATGGGGCCCTCGACGGGCCTCTCACCGTGAGCTGCTGGTCCTTGGAGTCCCCGCCGTCCTTCATGCTTGCGGGGATGGAGGGGCTCAGGCCGCGACCGCGGGCATGGCCGAGCCGCGCCCCCAGCGTCCCCGGGTCCCCCGCAGCCTCACCGGTGCTGCCGCTGCCTGACAACCCGAAACCAACAACGCGCCCGCGGCCAAGGGCGCCGACCGGGGGGCGGGGCGAGGGGAGGGCCCCGACGGCGCCTCCCGCCCCCTGCGCCCCCGCCCCTCCCGTGCCTCGGCCCGGGGTGGGCCGCCTCCGCCGGGGAGGCGCTCGAGCCTGCGCCGCTCTCCCAGCGAGTCCCGCCTGCGCGTCCCTCCGGCCCTCGGCGAGGCCCTGCGTCCGCCCGGCGCCGCCGCCGTGTCGGTTTGGCCGCTCTCGCCGCCTCCCCGTGCCCCCTCGCTCGCGGCCGGGCCCTCTCCCGCTGCCCTCCAGGGGGCGCCCTGCGGGCTCGCCGCTCGCTGGACAGCGGCGCTCCCCGCCCCTCGCGCGGCGGCTGTGGGCCTGCCTGCCTGTCCGTCTGTCTGTCTGTCCGCTTCTTGGCGTCTCCAGGGCGGTGGCTGGCTGCCCCGTGTTCCCATGGGCGCGGCGTGCATCGCGGCTGTGGCTGGTGTCTAATCCCTGTCTCCGATGACAGAGGGGTAAACAGCTGTCCCTGTGCCCAGGCTGCCCACCCGCCTGGTGGAGGGGGGCACCTGTATTACTAGGTCACACAAGAGCCCGCCTCCATGCACCCCACTGGCAAACAGGGCCCCATCGGGAAACCCAGAATCTAGGTCAAGACGGTGGGGTCTGTGTGCCCTGTGGCTCCCCGCCCGCGGGAAGAGGCACGGTGCTGTGCAAGACAGTGTGGGTCCCACGCTGTGGCCTCCGCATGTGGCGGGCATAACAGCGATTTCACAACCGGGAGCACAGCCAGCGGGAAGACTCCCGCCTCAGGAGGCCGGGAAACCAGGATCCTGGTCCCAGCTCTGCATCCAACTCACCAAACCACCTGGAGCCAGTGTGCGCGCCCCTCGGGGCCCTAGTTCCCTGGGTGATGGTGCGTCTGAAGGCCCATCGTCCTTGTCTTCTCCTGCCCCAGCTGAGCTGAGCCGGGCAGCCTCCCTGGCCGAGGGGAGCCATGGGCTTCCTTCAAGGAGCGGGGAAGGGAGCGCTCCTCCCCCGGGGCTGCTCAGACGGCCTGGCGGGCATCCAGAGGCGGAGCACGCTGCCAGCCTGTGCCCTGGGGGACTGGCTTCCCCGGCCGCCCCAGGAGCTTGTGTGTAGGAGTTATTAATAAGCCATGCAGAGAGCCACCTGTGGCCTCGGGTTTGGTAAGTAGATAAAGCGGGGAAGCTTGGTGGAAACCGCTCCTTCGGGGGTGCAGGGGGAGGGGTGTGCGGGGAGGAGGGGGGTTGGCCCGAGATTTTGTCCTGCTTTCTGGCCCAGGCTGCCCCGAGCCTGCGCACCGAGGCTGGCGGGTGTGCCCCGTCCTCTCTGGCCCCACATCTCTGCGTCATTTTTGACTTCCTCTTTCCTCTCATCCTCCACCTGCGAATCCTGGAGGTTCTCCCTCTGCAGGTGTTTCTCCTCTTCCTCATCTCCTGGCCACTCCCCCAGGCTCCATCACTGTCACCTGGGCAATGTCATGGCCGCCTCCTGCTGCCTCCCACTTTCAAAAGGTGCGGCTGTGACACCAAAGTGCAAGCAGGCGCCGCGCCTTGCTCCCCACAACCTCCTGCTCACCCTCTACGGCCTTAGGCTCCACCCACCTTGACGAGTGTCCCAGTTACACGCTGGTGCCGGGCCCTGCTTTCAGGCCTTGGCTCAGCCGGTGCCTCCTCCTGATACACTCTAACTTGTCAGATGTAGGAACAGAGGTGCAGACAGGTACGTGACTAGCTGTCACTCCACCCCAAGCCACCATCTTCTCTCAGCATCTCCTGCCGACCAGCCTCAGGGCTACCTCCCTCCAGGCCCTCATCCATGACCAGCCCAGGGATTTTGTAAAATCTATATGCAGATCTGAGCACACCTCTCCCCTGCTCCCCCATGATCTTAGGAGAAAGGCAGAAACGCTTAATGGGACCTTCAAGGCCCTGCCTGCCTGGCCCCCGCCTGTTCTCCAGGATGGTTCCAGCCCCCGGTGACTGTGCTTCAGCCACGTGGACGGCTCCCTGTCAGTTCATAGGCACAGCAGCTGCTGCCTCCTCTCCTCTGCCTGGAACGCCCCTCCATTGTGCATCCCCATAATCACATATGTGCACACATGTGTCTGCACCTGCACACGCACCTGCACACACACACACCTGCACACACACCCCTGCACACGCACCTGCACATGCACCTGCACACACACACACCTGCACACTCACACCTGCACACGCACCTGGGGCTGGACTGTGGGCTGAAGTCCAGGTCTGACCCTCGCTCCCATGGGACTCGGGCAACATGCTCCCTCCCTCGTGTCTCCCTGGGCACATCCGTGGCTCAGGGATGGACGATGCTGATGGCGCTCTATTTTGAAGCTCAAGGGCCCAGTAAGTATGACGTGTGAAGATTATTTTTCAAGGTCTAGCCATGGTGGACATTCAGTGTTTTTTTCTTTTGGGCACAAGAGCAGCGGGTTTCTCCCCAATGAGATTCTTAGCACAGGCATTTTTAAAAGGGACCACCTGACACCCACAGAGTGAATGGTGGTTGGGGACTTCTCCTGAGACAAGGCTGGCTCTGAAGCATCCTCTTGCCTGTGGCATTTCTGGTGACCTGTGACATTTCTGAAGATGGTTGCCGGATGCTGCTCGGCTGTGCCACGGTTTCAGGGCGGCCCAGTGCCTGGCCCACAGCTGGTTGGGACAGAGCTGCCTGGCCTCCTGTCCGTCTGCCGCTCACTCACTCTGTCACCTGGCCACACCCCCACCTCTCCTGGACCCTGCTCTTCCCCTGCAGAGTGCGGATAATCGAGAACAAACCTTCCAGGGACTTGTAACAAGAATGACACGAGATAGCGTGGGAAGCTCTCGGTGCAGGCTGCGTAATACGCACTACTAGTAAGTGTGAGCACTGTTATCATGCATTTAATTATAATTTAATTTCATGAAGACCAGAGGAAGCTTGCAGAGCCCAAGAAGAACCGCGCTGATCTGCTCTGCTCCGACCCTCCTGGAGGTAGCACGCCGGGGCCCGGGCTCGCACTCGGGAGGCCTTGCAGAGTGGAACTCCTTCGCCCCAGGTTGTATGCGGCGTGGGTGGGGCGGGTCAGAGAGGAGGCCCCCAGCCACAGGTCCGTCTAAGGCCCCACCTGGGCCGTGAGGAGCTTGTGAAGGAACGCGATGGCCAGGAAGGCCCTGGAGAAGCCGAAGGGGACACGCAGGGCCAGGCTGTGTGAGGCCCGAAGTGGGGTTGGCCGTGGTGGCGGGGCCAGGGGCTCCCATCTTAGGGGTGAGTGTGCCCCTCTCCTCCCTCCAAGGGGTCACTGGGGACCGGGCTCAGTGAGTCAGCATGGGCCAGTGATTTGTGGGGTGTGAGGACTGGGCTCAGGGCCCCTCTGCTCCCCCTTCCTTCCCCCCAGTGACACTCTAAGGAAGGAGGTCAGCACCCACTTATAAAACCAGGGCGGTGCCAAGAGGCAGGAGATGGAGGCGCCTGTGGGGGAGGGGCTGCAGGCAGGCCTGACCTTTTAGTTTGGCGTCTCTTCAGGGCCGTCTTCTTTCTCCTCCTCTTCCTCTTCCTCGTCCTCGCCCTGGCCCTGGACCTCAGCCTCCGGCTCCTCAGCCTCCTCCGGACTTTGTTTCTGCTAAAGAAAGACGGCACAGAATGATGGGGGGTGGGGGGGGGTCAGGGGGCAGGCCTCCCCTGCCCCCGGGGGCGTTAACCCCGAGGCCGAAAGCAGCCACCTGGCCGGTGAGGGTGCCAGCACCGTGGCCACCAGGGCCTGGTGGCTGCTCAGAGCCAGCGGGTGGGGACAATGGGGACAGTGGGGGCAGTGGGGGCGCCCCACAGGCTCAGGTACAAGCCCTGCTCTGCGGCTTGCTGCCGGGGTGACCCGGCTGGCTCCTCCTGAGGGTCCCTGGTCCCCTCCCCGTATTTCCCCCATGGCTGCGGCTGTGGTTGGAAATAATGGCTGTAAGGACCGGGGAGGGCCTTCTAAGCTCGGCCCCCGGAAATGCTGGCCCAGTGCAGAGACTGAGAGACTAGAGGTGGGGAGGGGCCGAGTTCTGGGAACCGTGACCCCTTGGGAGGCCCAGCTGCCAGGAGGAGGACCTCTGGGGCCTCCCCCACCAGGAGGGTGTGTGTGAGCCGCACTGCACTGTGAGGTGGCCAATGGGCATCGCCTTCGGAGGGCTGGGGAGCCCAGAGGCGGTGGGTGGGGAGTCTGGGGCTATGGGTCCAATCTCACCTCCGCCACACATGGAGGGAGCCCGCCCACCTGTACACACAGGTAGTGTGAGAATAAGGCCACTCAGACCCAAGGCCTTCTGAAGACAAAATGCGCCTGCAGCCCTCGCCGGTTTGGCTCAGTGGATAGAGTGTCAGCCTGCAGACTAATGGGTCCCAGGTTCGATTCCAGTCAAGGGCACATGTCCGGGTTGCGGGCTCCATCCCCAGTGTGGGGCGTGCAGGAGGCAGCCAGTCAGTGATTCTCTCTCATCAGTGATGTTTCTCACTCTCCTTCTCCCTCTCGCTTCCTCTCTGAAATCAATAAAAATATTTTTTTAAAAATGTGCCTGCGGATGACACCTCCTCCCAGACCCCATGAGAGGGAGGCTGGAGTCGGGAGAAGCCAGAGACGGAAGCAGGTTCCTCTCTGCATGTTCACCCACCTCCGTCACTCCGGCCGCGCAGTAGCGCCCAGGAACCTGCCACACAGCTCTTCAATAGGGCCGGCCTCCTGTGCGGGCACCCTATGCCATCACCCTGTGCGGGCACCCTATGCGGGCACACGAGGCTGTGCTGGCAAGGGTCCCACACTTGCTTCCATGTTCTGCTGTTATTGTCTTGAAATTCCCACGACTTTTGGAGCAAGGGCTCCCCCTTTTCATGTTGCACTGGGCCACGCCCCCAAACGATGCCCCTGGTCTCACCCACAAGGGTGGACATGGACATGCGCTCCCCAGTTCTTGCCCTTCCCTGCTGCCCGTTTGCACTTGCCCATCTTGGTATCTGATCTGTGGGTCTCTCAGGCAACGGCCCGCACAGACAGTGCCTCCTCTCCTGTCCCTTCTGTGGAAGAGGGCCTCGGAGGGGACCAGACACTCTTTGGAGCCAATCTCCTTATTTTCTGAGTGAAAAGGAAAGGCCTGAGAAGGGAAGCGGCCAGCCCAGTTGTTACCGCTAGAGGGTGCTGGAGAGCCAGGCCACAGGTACACGAGTTCAGCTCAGGTCACACCCCTGACACCAGAATGCCCTCCAGACGGAGCACGGCTCCTGCCCTCGGGAGGCCGCGTCCACCTGGGGACTTGGATTCCTCTGGAGGAAGGGACTCATGCCTCCCATTTGCCAGATGGACAAACTGAGGTCCACCTGGTAAGGTGACTTGCTTGAGGTCACCCAGGAAGTCGGCAAAGAGGCAGAACCTCGGTGCCATGCCTTCCACCCACCCACGCAGGCCCCACCCCAGGCTCTCACTTCTGTGGGCTTCTTCAAGGCTTCCGTCTCCTTCCTCTTCATCTCCGAATAGATGACATTGAAGAACTCCTCCTCGGCCTTGGCGACCAGCTCCTCCAGGTTGATGGAGACCTCCTCCTCCCGTGGCTCCTCCTCCCTGCCCTCCGCCTTGCCTTTCTCCTTCAGCCGCATCTCCCGGTGCCTGGCCTCCAGGATCTTCTCCCGCCGGGTCTCCCGCTCAAATATCTGGGCCGGACAGGGGCAGAGAGGCCCGTGGGAAGGGGGCGGCAGCTTGGGGCTCCTGGCACAGGGGCCAGACGGGGTCCTCCTCGCTCTATTCACCACAGCTCCCAAAGAGGCCTGCACGCGGGGCTGACAGCAAGAACAGAGGGCTAGCCCGGCCGGCGTGGCTCAGTGGTTGAGCCTTGACCTATGACCCAGGAGGTCAAGGTTCAGTTCCTGGTCAGGGCACATGCCCAGGTTGTGGGCTGGATCCCCAGTGTGGGGTGTGCAGGAGGCAGCCGATCAATGATTCTCTCTTGTCATTGATGTTTCTATCTCTCTCTCTCTCCCTCTCCCTTCCTCTTTAAAATCAATAATAATAATAATAATAATAAAGAACAGAGGGCTAAATATTGGGGTCAGAAGGTGGGAGCTGGGACGGCGAGTTCCTCAATTCTAAGGGGTTCTAAGGACATAGATGACAGCGGGAAGAGCACCCTCTGGATTTGTACAAATGGTGGCCCTGGGCCCATGAAGGACCAGCTCAGAGGTGGGACCACAGGCTCAGGCACAGCCAGGACGCCCTCCCAGGTCCCAGCACCAGGGGTTTGCAGCATCGTGTGCCCCACGGAGTGCCTCCAGGGCTACCTGCCAGGGGGAGGCGCAGTGACGGAGCTCAGCCCCCAGCACGCGCAGCGCCCCCAGCACCCCAGCACCCATTTCCCGGCCCCCCAGGATGTCCACCATATCCCAGGAGGTGAGAGGGAGCGGCCATCCGTGTCCCTCGGACTGGCCTGCTCTGCAGGGCCCTGGTGGGGAGGTGAGCTGGAGGGCACCTCGGCCCTGGCACTGGGCACTCACAGAAGAAGCCGTGTTCTTCTCGTTCCTCTGGAGGTTGCACAGCCCCGGCGAGACCTCCAGCAGCGTGGTCGTCCCCAGCTGGGAGCCACAGGCGATGAAACCCCCGTTGTCCTGCACCCGGAGGCAGAAGAGGGCCTCGTCGCACACCTGCGGGGAGGGCCAGGCAGGCCCATGTGGAGGCGGAGAGGAGCCTCAGTCTGATTCTCTGGCTCCCAGGAGGCTGGCCAATTGGCCCCATTCACACACCCTCCCCCCGCCCCCACGCCCCCCCGAATCATTTGGTCTGGCCCTACCAAGGCACGAGGGGTGCCTTCATTAAACGTTGAGCAGGCTAACTGTTAAGTTGATGATTTTGGCCCGTGAACGAGGTTATAAATATTCAAACGGCCCCTAGCAGGGAAAAGGTTCCCCACCCCTGACCCGGATGCATGGGGAGAGGGTGTGCGTGACCTTCAGGCTGAGGGCGGGGTCACACTGCTTGAACACGAAGTCCCAGATGTCCAGGGTCCCGTCCATCTTGGTGGTGAAGAACACCGCCGGCCTAACCGGGCTCCAGGCGCCATCGCTGAGGTACGCCATGTGATACCTGTGGGCAGCCGGGGCCACCTGTCAGGGGCTGCTGTGGCTGACAGGGACGGGGAGGCTGCTGAGCCACAGCTCTCTCACCGGGCCCCTCCCGGGCTGCAGGCTCTCATTGTGGGCCGGGAAGTTCTTCTTTGCGTCTGACTTCTAGCCGTGCCGACCTCGCCCACCCACAGCGCACCGGCTGCACTTTGAAGGGCTCTGGGTTGGTCCTTCCCATGGGCTGGCCACTGGCCTTTCGCCAGAGCTCACTGCAGGGGCCAGGCGTGCAGAGCTGGACCTGGCCCGGTGCCCCAGTCCCAGGACTCGCTGAAGGAGTTAGAGGGAGGATGTGCCCGAGAACCCCTCCCACTAAATCAGGAAAGTGGTATACTCTTACGCGGTTTGATCTAGAGCAGTGATGGCGAACCTGTGACACGCGTGTCAGAGATGACACGCGAACTCATTCTGTTGGTTGATTTTTCTTTGTTAAATGGCATTTAAATATAGAAAATAAATATCAAAAATATAAGCCTTTGTTTTACTATGGTTGCAAAGATCAAAAAATTTCTCTGTGTGACACGGCACCAGAGTTAAGTGAGGGTTTTTCAAAATGCTGACACGCCGAGCTCAAAAGGTTCGCCATCACTGCTCTAGGGTCTCAAAGGTTTCTGCAGCGGACAATGAAATCGGGCCCTTCTCTGACGCCATGCACAGAAATCAACTCAAAGTGGACTGAAGACTTCAACGTCCGACCTGAAACCATAAAACTCCTAGGAAAAACCACAGGGGAACGTTCCCTGACATGGGTCTTGGCAGTGAAGTTTTGGATATGACACCAAAAGCACAGGCAACCAAAGCACAAACATAAACACGGGGGATCACATCACTCTAGAAAGCCCCTGCCCAGCAAAGGACTAGCAAAATACAAGATAACCTCTGGCTCGGCCAGTGTGGCTCAGTGGGTGAGCATCGACCGATGAACCAGGAGGTCATGGTTCAATTGCCGGTCAGGGCGCATGCCCGGGTTGTGGGCTGGATCCCCAGTGTGGGGTGTGCAGGAGGCGGCCGATCAGTGATTCTCTCTCATCATTGTTCCTATCTCTCTCTGTCCCTCTCTCTCTCCCTCTCTGAAATCAATAAAAATATATATTTTTTAAAAAGACCATCTACGAGCCCTGACTGGTTTGGCTCAGTGGATAGAGCGTCAGCCTGTGGACTCAAGGGTCCCAGGTTTGATTCCGGTCAAGGGCATGTACCTTGGTTGCGGGCAAATCCCCAGTGGGGGGCGTGCAGGAGGCAGCTGATCGATGTTTCTCTCTCATCAATGTTTCTGACTCTCTGTCCCTCTCCCCTGCTCTCTGTAAGAAATCAATAAAATATATATATATATATATATATATATATATATATATATATATACATATATATATAAAAGACAATGGGTAAAAAAAAAAAAAAAAAAGACCACCTATGAAATGGGAGAAAATATTTGCAAACCATATACTAATAAGTGGTTAATATCTAAAATATATAAGGAACGCATACAACTCAATAGCAAAAAAACAAAATAACTCCATCACCCAATGACAAAATGGGCAAAGGACCTGAGCAGACGTTTCTCCAAAGAAAAGCTGCGCAAACGGCCAACAGGCACGTGAAAAGGTGTTCAACACCACGAATCAACAGGGAAATGCAAATCAAAACCACCAGGCGACAGTACCTCGCCTGGCGTAATGGGTATTATTAGAAAAGCTAAGTGTTGGCGAGGACGCGGAGAAAGGGGAGCCCTCCGTCGCTGTGGGTGGGGATGTCAGTTGGTGCAGCCGCTGCAGAAAACAGCATGTGTCCTCTTAGCATGTTGCCAGAAAGATCCGGAATGTGTTCACAGATAAAGTACATGATTGAATGAATAATGTAAAACATGGGTCTAGAAGAGCCCTCCCCCCCCACCTCCAGCTACTCCCTGCAAAACTGGCCGACCCTGTCCACCCGAGTTCACAGCCTCTATTCACAGCAGCTCAGAGGCGAAAGCAGCCCAGCGTCCATCGGCATGTAAACGGATAAACAGTGTGGTGGCCGGGAGCGCACGGCTTTGCCTCACGGTAGCTCGGCTCCCTCACACCTGCAGTTAGGTGACCGGAGAGCAAGGCTACCGACTCCTGGGGTTGTCTTGCGGGTCGGCAAAGTGAGCTTGTGGCTGTTATTATTACTCATCTGGGTGCTTTGAAGTGCATTCCTCCTTCAAGCCACTTCCTAGCATAACTCAGGTGCTTGTGGAGGGGTGTTTGTGGGCACACAAAGGTTCAGGTTGCTCCTGGCTGGGCCCCCTCCGTCCCCTCCACCCTCCTGCATCCCTCTCCCACCCCTAACTCCCCCCGCCCTTACTTGGTCCACATGATGGACGACTCCCGGCTCTCCTCCGACCAGATGCGGGCGGTCCAGTCGCCCACGGTCAGGAAGTTCTTGGGGTAGAAGGGGTTCCTCTGGAGGGCATAGACGGGGCCGTGGTGGCCAGGGAAGGTGCACACGATCTTCTCGGCCTGCGTCTTGGCCTTGCGGTTGCAGGAGATGACGATGCCTTGCTCCGTGCCCACCATGAACTTGGTCGGCTGCGGAGGGGGTGACACAGGGGTGGGTGGCTCCGTGAAACATCAGCTCGGGGTTCTGCCGGCGTGGCCAGCAGCCTTCTGGGGTTTCAGCCTCTGCTCAGGCTGTGTCCCAGCTGCTCCTCGGGGGCTGCCCCCACTCTTCCCATCTTCACCGGACCCCACCCTTCTTGGGAACCTGCTCGAGGGCCCCGTGCTTGAGGGAGGGCCCCGTGCTTGAGGGAGGCCCCGACTCTCCGAGCTCTGGAGTCTCTCATCACCAGCCCTCTTCATGCAGCACCATTGCGTCCGCAAGGCGTTCTGCCATAAAGATCCCGAATGTCTGTTCACCAAGTAGGTGATTAAATGAATAATATAAGACGTGAGTCCAGCTGCTCCCTGCAAAACTGGCTACACTGTCCACCCAAGTTCTTGGCAGCATCATTCACAGCAGCTCAGAAAGCCACCCAGTGTCCATCGACAGAAGATGCATAAACAGAGTGTGGTCCATCCCTACAATGGAATATTATTCAGCCTTAAGAGGAAGGAAATGCTGACACAGGCAAGCATGTGGATGAACCCCGAGGACATGACGCTAAGTGAAACAAGCCCGTTGCAAGAGGACAAACACCGTAAGAGCCCCCTTAAAGGAGGTGCCTGGGGAGTCAAATTCATAGAGACAGGAAGTAGAAGGGGCGGGGCAGGGGGCGGTGGGGAGTCGTTTAAAAGGTACACAACTATTTTCAGTTTCAGTTTTGCAAGATGAAAAAGTTCTGGAGCCCCATTGCACAACAACGCGAATGTACTTAACACTACTAGATGGTACACTTACAAATGGTTAACACGGTAAATTTTATGTTGGGTTTTTTTATAAAGATATTTTGTATTGATTTCAGAGAGGACGGGAGAGGGAGAGAGGATAGAAACATCAATGATGAGAGAGAGTCATTGATCGGCTGCCTCCTGCACGCCCCCGACTGGGGATCGAGCCCGCAACCTGGGCCTGGGCCCTGACTGGGAATCCAGCCCTGACCTCCTGGTTCAGAGGTTGGTGCTCAACCACTGAGCCACACCAGCTGGGCCACCTTTGATACTGTTTTACTGGTCCTTCCCAGTTACTAAATCCTGTAATTACGCCTGCGCTGTGGTTTTCCTAGGAGCCTTCTCTGACCTCACTTCCCTCTCCAACACCTCCTCCTTCCCTACAGGAAGTGAAGTGACCCTCCCAGGGCCCCACGCGAGGCCGAGGCAGAGCCTGGCCTCCGACATAGAGTGGGCGCTTCTGGACTCTGGTCCTTTCTGAAGCTTGCCTTCGGTTCCGCCCGCCCGCCGGTGCCTTCTCAGGAATGAGCATGGCTTCCTCCGCAAGAAGCTCTGCTGCCCCCTGCTGGAACGCCGCTGTAAAGACCACCGGGTCGGGGCGGTGCTCCTGGCGGCTGTGCAGGGCACGAGGTGAGCAGCAGCCCCGGCTCCGCAAGCATCTGATACCCCAGCCACGCCCGCTCGTGGCTCCGGCTGCCCCGGCGATAGAAACGGGGAGGGGGAGGAAGGGACACTCACCAAGGTGGACTCGAACTCCAGGGAGATGGCCCCCAACGCATTTTGCAGCTGCTCCTTCCTGGTGATGTCCATGATCACCACCTCAGTGGGCTCGCTCAGCTTGCGTATGTCCCACCACATGACCTGGTGGGAGGAGGGGCGGCGTGAGACCCGGGGCCCCGCGAGTCTCCTGGCCTGCGGCCCCCTCACCTCCTCCAACTCCCTGGCGTCAGTCACTCTGGTCAAAAGGGGGTGAGACAGCAGCCCCCGGGGACAACATGCTCTGAGAATGACTGCTCTGGTGGACAGTCCCTCCCAGACCTGTCTGGCTATCGGAGTCATGGGCAGGCGTCACGAAATGCAGGTGCTGGGCTTCCCCCCACACCTACTGCATCGAAATCGCCAGCGGTGGGCCCAGCGTCCCTGTCCTTAAAGGCCCCCACACTAGGGCACATTACAGCCATGTTACACATGCACACACACTCTGGGCCAGAAAGCCCACTGCCAGGGACCTGTGCCGTCGGTGTACCTGCCCATGTGTGCAACCATGTGCATGCAAATACACGCGTTGCTACATTTTTTTTGGTAACAGCAAAATATTAAAATCCTCTGCAATAAATGCTGCCATCCCCGATGCAGCCCCTAGCGGGCACAGGGCAATGCTGATGACTCTGAAATCACCTCCAAATACACGGAGTGAAACATCAAGGCAGATCCCCGTGGAGGGCGCGCAAACAGAGGGGGCGAAGACAGACGCCTCTGATGAGCGCAGACGCTACCCCAGGCGGGAGAGCGTGGTGTGGGCGGTGCCTCCTGGGACGGCGGCTGCCCTCTGGTGCCTGTTGCGTTTTGTGCTGTGCGCGTGTGTTACGTAGTTTTCAATTCAATAATAAGATGCAAAGAAAACGTTCCCTGGTGATTGCAAGGGGGAACCAGGAAACTGTTACTGCTCCCCACCCCCTTCCCTTGCAGCGCCTGGCCCGTGGGTACCTGCCCGCCTGTGGGTGCCTGCCCGCCTGTGGGTACCTGCCCATCTGTGGGTGCCTGCCCGCCTGTGGGTACCTGCCCGCCTGTGGGTGCCTGCCCGCCTGTGGGTACCTGCCCGCCTGTGGGTACCTGCCCGCCTGTGGGTGCCTTCCCGCCTGTGGTTACCTGCCCATCTGTGGGTACCTGCCCGCCTGTGGGTGCCTGCCCGCCTGTGGGTACCTGCCCATCTGTGGGTGCCTGCCCGTCTGTGGGTACCTACCCGCCTGTGGGTGCCTGCCCGCCTGTGGGTGCCTGGCCGCCTGTGGGTACCTGCCCGCCTGTGGGTGCCTGCCCGCCTGTGGGTGCCTGCTCACCTGTGGGTACCTGCCCGTCTGTGGGTGCCCGCCCGCCTGTGGGTACCTGCCCGTCTGTGGATGCCGAGAAACACTCAGTGCCCGTCTTCGACTGCAGCCAGATGGTGCCGTACACGGGGTCTCGGTGGCTGAACTCAATGGTGGACAGCTCGGCCACCAGGCTGCCCTTCCGGGTGTCCCAACAGGCTGGCGGGAGGAAAAGGAGGGGCAGGTGAATAGGGCACGGGCTTCCTTTCCTGTGGGGGAGCAGGGGCAGGGGTGCTGCTCCTCTTGGTTTGGCAGGGACGTGGTTTCTTAGAATCAGGGCTGGGTTCACACCAGCCTGAGTTTCCTGCCACCCCTGAAGCCCCCACACAATCTCCGAGGAGTGACTCCCAGGCTGCACACTTCATTCATTCATT